TTGATGCAGGCCAAAATCCCATTGGCTTTTTTTGCCGCCACATCACATTGTTGGCTCATGTTTAACTTGTTGTCCACGAGGACTCCAAGATCTTTTTCACACGTACTGCTCTCGAGCCAGGCGTCACCCATTCTGTATCTTTGCATTTCATGAGAGACATCACCACAACACCACATGAGCTGCACATGAACTGAGCTGCATATGGGTGTATAATCACATGTCAAATACTACACCTCTGACATGCGCAGAGAAGTTAAAGATGTGTTGAGTCAATTCCCATCCATGTTTTGCCTACGAAATGGACCATGCATCATGTAATAGGACCCATATAAATTAGTATGCAAAGAACATCAGGGATTGTACTGTGTGATAAGGTCCTCGAACACTTTACCTTAACTCTAATAGAGAACGAACCCTCCTCTACTTGAGTAGAGTGGCAAAAATGAGAGCGTAGGAAATCCTGGGAGAAATTTTAAAAAGCACTAATTCATTCTACTTGCTTTGCTAGAGAACCACATCTGGCCTTTTTGAATGACTGGGTGGAAAAATAACAGCAGCGGCTTTTTGGTGCTTCCTTTCAAAGCAGCGCTAGAAAGTAGAAGTGGTCGGTGCTTCTCTTCAGCTACTCCCAGGGCAGACTAAGCTCTCACTTTTTGCCACTCTATTCAAAGAAGGGGATGGTTCCATTTTTATAAGAGTTAATGATGTACCTTGATGTTTTTTAAAAAAACAACCTTCTCCTTCTCTAAGCAAAATGATAATAGACCTTTTTGAATGCCTAGATGGGTAAATGGCAGAGGTAGCTTATCTTCTTAGACAATGCTGGTGCTGAGGTAATTCTGGTTCCCAATCTATGGAATTACTCTCAACTTATCACATCAAAATACTGATTTTTGGTCCCAAAACCTGCACCAATTTATACATGAGGTCGACTTACATACAATTATATTACAACTCTTGTGTAGGAGATTGCCTGATAGGGATAGCTTTTCTGACTACAACAGTATTAAGTTGGAAACCACATCTGTTCCAAATTGCTTATTCTATACAATGGCTAAAAGAAGCATCTGTTATTGCAAATAATTACTCTGTTCAGGGATCTGCAGTTATACAGCATAGGATTGATGGGTGGTCCACATGTATAAATATTGACTGCTTGATAATGTCAGCATTAAGTGGCAACTTGCATGCTGCAATGCTTATGGTGTTATTTCTATGCTTCTGGAACTTTGCAGTACAGTTCATGATTCATAAAGACACTGTATGCATACAAAACTGGACAGTTTAGGATAAAATCTATTTTAAAATGGTCTTTTAAAACTGAGTACTTTATTAAATATGAATTTTTATTTTAAAATTTTGCAGTTGGTGTAGGAACAATGCAGGAGTATGCAGAATGTTCATGGATCAGGAACAGGCTGAGCCAAATGTGTGAATGCATCATCTCAGATGAAGTTCTATTGACTGAACTTTGCTGTCACCTCAATGGCAGTGTTTTTCAGTGGTGAGTCATCAACAATGAAGAACCCAAGGCTGCACGTGTAATCTCCCCCCCTCCCCACAGTTACACATTCTTGCCATGTTACTGCTTGGATTTTACTTTGTTATCTGTGCTTATTTTTGTTCTTCCAGCTTTTGCCACTTGTCTATGGACCTTATCACATTAAGTGAGGCATTCACCATGCATAGTGGTGGATCCGTGGGGTCCCATCTGGGGGTGTGGAGAACCCCATGCTCCTCGTTACCCAATTTATTGCTAGTCCCATCTCACCGGGGGGGGGGAGGGGAGCATTCACCACCCATCTCTCCCTTTCATTGTAGCAAAGGAAACACAGGAAACCTCCCATGGTGCTGAAATGGTGGTGTACACTACTTGCTCTTCTCTTTCACTATGCAGCCTGGCTGGTAGTAGATGTGCGTCATGTAATGGGCTCTGTGGCAAAACGGGAAAGCAGGCAGTGTACAATGGACAAATTGCCCCATCTGATGAGGTTGCATGAGACTATATTTTACCAGGCTGGTTTATTTGTCAGTCTAATCTAGTCTAGTCACTGGCCCTCCAGAACTTCATAGGGACTCTGACACAAGTCTTTTTCATCTCTAATTTCTTTCTATGACAGGCTCTCCATATCCATAGAGTTTGTATTCACAGATACAACAATCCACATCTTAGAAATATCTTTCAAAAAACCAAAATCTAAACCTGAATGTTGCTGTTTTATATAAGAGACACCATTTTACTATGTTATTCTGAATAATAAGATTTGAACATCCATATATTTTGGTATCTATTGTGGGTCCTGAAATGAACTTCAATAGATCATTGGAACACGCAAGCCCCCTCACCACGACAAGGTGACAGTCCATCAAGGAGGGGGGATATAAAGGGGCCTTTAAATTAGGGTTGTTGGGTATTGAACCTAAGATTTAGTTACATCTCTCCAGATCTGCTTACTCTACTTGTCATTACAATATGCTTTAATCATTTGGATCTCTTCAAGTGCCACTTATTTCTCTACTCTTTTAAAGAACACCTTTTTCTGACCTTATTTCTCATGTCTTGGTGTTTGGAACAAGAGATTGGTGTTTCATTCTTCTCCCTTGCACTTCTACTCTGAGTGCTCCTTGATAAAAACTATTTATTTATTTGCTTACTATATTTTTACCCAGCTCGCTCTCACCCTGAAGGGGACTCTGAGCAGCTTCCAAATTGACAATATTCAATGCCATACAAACAACTAACAGATACAATGTATACAAACTTTAAAATAATTAAAATAAAAAATAAAGTATAATTATTACAATATATTAATACATTATAATCAGCTATTAAAACCACACAGATAGAAAGTCATAGTCCTGGAGCCATTCCAATCTTTTTACACTTATTTCATTGCCACCTATTGCACTGATTGTTCTCCAAAGGCTTGGTCCCATGACCAAGTTTTTTTCTGAAGGTCAGGAGGGAGGGAGCGGATCTAATGTCACTGGGAAGGGAGTTCCACAGCTGAGGGGCCACCACTGAGAAGGCCCTGTCTCTTGTCCCCACCAACTGCACCTGCAAAGGAGGCAGGACCAAGAATCTCCAAGGTGGTTCATCGAGAGAGATATGTTCGGACAGTAAGCTGGGCAGTAATGCCAAAATAAAACATCACTTTGCAGTCTTTGAAACACTGTCAGTATGTCTTTAGAAGCTTAAAATACCAGAGATTTGGTGAACTCTCCAAACAGTTTTTTTTAGCGCAGCAGCAGCAAACACACCAAAACAAACCCCAGCAATTCTGAAGTAGCAAGCAGCCCATCTCTCCCAACAAACAGTATCTCCAACAGACAGAAAGGCATGTCAAACTATACATTTTAGGGAAGACAGTGAAATGATATTAAAATATGTTATCAGTTTTTTATATTTATCAATGTGTGTACCTGTCTATCTTTCTGTCACCACATGACATTTCAGCAGAAAATCAGTAGAATCCAGGTTCACATTGTCAAAACCCTTGTACTCTAGGGGTGTGTAATGTAGCCTAACGTCACTTTAACTGCCATGGGAATCATGGGAGTTGTAGTTTGGTGAGGCGCCAACACAATTTGTCAGAGAAGGTCAATGTCCTTGTACTGTGATAACTCCATGATTCTATAGCATTGCACCATTGCAATTAAAGTGGTGTCAAACTATTTTAATTCTACAGTGTAGATGCACTCTTGGAATTAGCATGGACTAAGACATCATGTGCCTTTCCCCTACCAATCCAGTCTCTGTTGTTTCCTCTACCAGGTGCAGTGCCTACGGATCTTCCTCAAGAACAATGGGTTATTCTGAACAACTACTATTGTATTGCAAAGTATTTGGAGTGGCTTACACATGGGTAAAAAATATCTGTTAGCAGTACAAAATACCTGCTTGTTAAAGGAATTCTCATGATGAAGGCCTGCACTTTGAAATAGACTACTATACTACTGGGATTCATATTCCATGTAATATTCTAACTGTATATGTCTTGTTCATCCAACTAATCAGATCTTTTGACATTCAAAAACAATTATTTCTAATACAGACACTTTCCACATTTTTTAACCCAAAGAAAACATATAGATCAATCCAAAACCTATTTACATGCTTTATTTCTTGGTAAATTTGCTTAGCATTCAGCTCAAAGGAGAGAAAATCCCATTGTATCTTAAATCTTGTAAAAAAATATACAAGAGCTGTCATTTGAACAGCTACTGTGACTAGTTGCTACTACAAGGTTGCTTTTTAAAAATTACTTTGCGTATGGTTCATAGTTTTGTTCTCTATCTTTTCTCTCCACATGCACCCATCTTTAAGCCAATAATCCTGTGGGGAGGAGTACTGCACTTAAACAAAGTTCACAATGCACTTTGCAGTGATTTCCACCACAGGGGAGATCCCACAAAGTACTGCCGCAGTTGTGGAAATTGCTGCAAATGTGAATCTGAGTAACTGATGGCTCACAAAATACTTTGACCATAGAATCGTAGACTCACTTGGACCCAAAGATAATTGCAGAGAAATGACTATAAGTAAAAACAAATTCTGGCTTGTTGTGGTGAAATGTTTCTTTCTCAAACTTTCTTTACATACTTTGTGTCTCTGGAATCTGAGTTTGCAATAGCAAACAACTGGAGAGGAACATGATCTATCCATGCAAAAACACTTTTAAGGATCAGATTAGAACAAAATTGTTATGAGGGTAACCCTATACAAAAACACTTAAAAGTTTACTTTAAAATAATTTGAATTAACCCATGCACATGTGGGTAATCTATAGTTATAAATCACAAAAATATATTTTTAAACCCTATTTAATTTTTTAAAAAAAATCAGTATAAGAAATATTTAAATTATGGGAAAGATTTTTGAGATCCAACTAGAAAGGGATATGAATGACAATCATCATTTTATATCCTTTCACATTTGACAAGGGGAAAAAAATACAGCATATCAAGAGCATTCTGTGCAAGGAGAGAAACAGCCTTACCATGCAGTGCATCAGGAGGAGAAAATTACCAAGCATGCTGCAGAGATTAAGCTCAGCGTGGCATCCTCCAGGTTCCCTTTGGAGTGCATGAAGAAGATTGTCCAACACATCCTTCCCTGCCAAGTGGTTAAGTTTTCTCTCAGCTTGAATTTTTCACCAAGAACCAGACCCTGAAAGTGCATTGTACTTGTTTCATGGGGAGGGGTCTTTCTTCTGGTGAGGTTTTAGCTTCGCGATGCCATTTCTGATCAGCTGAGAGAAGTTCTTCATTCCCAGATCTGTGCTGTCATCAGAAAAAATCCAAAAGGGAATAGGAGAAAGAGAGAGAGAGAGAAAGATCAAAAGGGAGAAAAAGAGAAAAGAAGGTGCTTAGCAAAGCCTTGAAGTGGTCATCCAGATAAAGAAAGATGATCTCTCACATACTTTGTTGCAGTCCCTTTCTTTAACCCATTTTATCTGCAGAGAGACAATTGTTTTGCAATGAACAAACTTTCATAATATCTACTTAAGCCCTGTATTGTGCATCTTGGTTTTAATGTTTTTTGTACAGAAGATAGAAGAAAAGCAGAAATAATAAGAAACTATCTTCTTTCCTTTCCTAATCTATATGAGGAATTTCTTTCATTGCTTGGGAAAGCTGGAGAAATGAGAGAGGCAATGCATTCAGTGGAATGTTCTTGACCAAATCCTTTTGTGTGCGCTTGTCAGGGAGATATACATTCAAAAAGGAAACAACCCTGAGAACTTTCTGTGGTCCAGGAGCATGGAAGGAGAGATATAGGCAGGCAAGGAATGGGATTTCTGAGGTGAGCGCAATTGCTGAATAGCTCTACTGTCTCACTACTAGGAGATTGGGTTTTCCCTTGCTCTTTCTGCAGAGCATATTAATTGATTTTGGTTGCTGAGCAACTAACTCTGGGGAGCCACATGGATGCTTTCTCTGCCACAATCGGAACAGCATTTTGAAGAAGTGGAGCTGGAGAAAAAATGTTCTTCCTCTGTATGCTTGTTTCAGTTCCCCACAATCCATCCTCAGCTGCCCTGAAAGCTTCGTCTATCTTTCCCTCTCCCTTTCTCTCTCCCTTTCCCCTTTTCTCTCTCTTTCTCAAATTCCCTCTCTCTAACATCCAGGGGCAGCTGGAGGCTTCCATATAACTGTTATAAGAAACTTACTCTGGATTTCATTTCAGATTCCAAGAGCTAGATTCAGATTCTGACAATAATTGGATTTCAGCACCTTGGATAGCTCCTTTAACTTCTATATGGGTTGTGGACCTTTATCTGGAATTACAAATTCTGAAATATTCTGAAATGGTCTACATGGGTGACCAAGAGTGTAACACCTTTGCTTTCTTATGGTTCAATGCACACAAACTTTGTTTCATGCAAAAACTTAAAATATTGTGAGCAAAATTACCTTCAGGCTATGCATATAAGGATTCTATGAAACATCAATGAATTTTATGTTTAAACTTGACTCCCATCATCAAGATATCTTTTTGTGTATGTATCTATAAATACAGGGATTCTGAAATCTAAAAGATATTCAAAATCCAAAACACTTCTGTTTCCAAGCATTTTGAATAAGCAACATTCAACCATAAAACTCAGAGAAGGTTCACTGCAGAATTGATATGGAAACTATCATCTACTCCATTATCCATTGATCCATTCCATTTTTACCTAGCGAGTGGAAGTGCTTATGTATTCTGAAATTGGGACAGAGAAAATTGTTACTTTTCTTCCACCCTCCACCCTGCATTTCTAATTCCCAGGGATCCCGAGGATTCAAGTAAGAAGTTTTCATGATTTTGCTGACAGAAAGGCTGCTGCTGATACAAACAGAATTCTTATGATCCTGCACTCGTTGGTTTGCATTTCATCAATTCTAAGATTAGAGCTGCAAACCCATCATTCTAATGAGTGTGTGGTGTGCCTCTCTGGGGAAGTGCATTTTGAATACTGCAAGGACTCGGAGGGATGGTTGTAGTACACACTTCTATGTATTTCAGCATAGAAATAACACCATATAAACTTTCACTTATATGAGAGAAAGTCAAATGGTGCCCTTGGCTCGTATTTCGGTTCACATATTTATTTTAGAGTATTATTATTTATTCATTTTGTACCTCTCTTTTCAAAGTATGGGGTCCAATGCATGTTGCAAGACAGATTAAAACAAGAATAAAGCTGAAGTTAATTTAATCGTAAAACAATATATCACCAATTAAATAAACAACATTAAAATAGCTTGTTGTTGATCTTGTGCACTTTTACATCAGCTCCAGCTAATGGTAAGCCAAACATGTGGTTTTCTTGGCAAGATTTGTTCAAAGTGGGGTTGCCTTTACCTTCAGCTGAGGCAGAGAGAAAGTGACTTCTATGAAGTCACCTAGAGGGGTTTCCATGATCAAGTTGGGATTTGAATCATTGTCTGCAAGATTCAAAATAGCTGCAAAGCATTCAAAATATAATAAAAACTGCAGTACTACCTCCCCCTATTAATGAAACTCCCATAAGAATGAGGAAATAAAAAAAACCTTATCTAATTAGAAGGGAAGTTGCTTGTCAGTGGAAGACCCTGTATGATTTTCCCCAATGTACAGTTTCCCTCATTTCTCCCATTGACAAAACTTTGAGTGTCTCACCCAGCATAACAGTAGTTCAAGTTTTGAAATTGTTGTTGTTGTTATTGTGTGCCTTTAAGTTTTTTTTCACTCTAAGGTAAACCTATAATTGATTTCCTTGGCAATGTTTGTTCAGAGGAAGCCTTTGGCTTCCTCTGAGGCTTAGATAGTGTGACTTACTCAAAGTCATCCAATGGGCTGAGAGGGGATTCAAATGGTGGTCCCCATGCTCCAACCACTACGCAATGCTAACTCTTTTTATACTTTTGCGTGTGTGTGTGTGTGTGTGTGTGTGTGTGTGTGTGTAAATAGAGAGAGCTTTGTGTTCAATCTGGGAAGCTAAGTGGGGTTAGCCCTTGTTAATACTTGGATAGGAGATCACCAATAAATTTTGGATGCTGTAAGATATATATCAGTGTACAGAACTGGCAAAACAGATTTAAATGGATTTTAACCTAATGTTTTTATCTACTTTGTTATGTCATGTTGTATTGTGTTTTTATATGTGTTCGCATCAAATTGTTGCCATTCTAAGCCGCCCTGAGTCCTCCCCTTGGGGATTGAGAAAGACGGGGTACAAATGTTTGAAATAAATAAATAAATCCACCTCTGGGTATTTCCTATCAAATAAAACTTTATGCAATTTATAGGGTCACTGTAGATCAACTGGCTATTTGAAAGAATAGAAACACATGAACTGGCTCATGTGAAGTAATAATGAAAAAAGTGACTTAAGACTGTCCTAAACATCTGACCAATTAGCAATTGTTTGTGTGCTGCAACTTGTTTACTGCTTCACAGGCTTCACAACTCACTTTAGAAACAAATTGAAAGAGGTGGGAAGTATTAATATCTTGTAGTGAATGTCTGGTCCAGCTTGAGGCAGTATCCTCAGGCTGGAATTCCAATGGTGAGATAAATTGCCATGTTCTCCTGTTATGCTAACATATTATTTAGTTCAGTCATTGCAGAATGAGGTATTACAGTCAGTGCCTGATTTGCCATTTGTATTTAGGTGTGCTTAAGCACAGGGCCCTATTGATCAGGAAGGCCAACAGTCGCACTGAAACTGTGGCTCAGCTGGCTGGTAGTCAGCTGCATTAAGATCACTACTGACTGAAAGGTCATGAGTTCGAAGTCAGCCTGGGTCGGAGTGAGCTTCTGACCAATTTGTGTACCTTGCTGTTGACCTTTGCAGCCCGAAAAACAGTTGCATCTGTCAAGTAGGAAATTTAGGTACCGCGTATGCAGGGAGGCTAATTTAACTAAATTACGACGCCATAAAAATCTCCAGCAAGCATGCAAAGAATGAGGAAGTACTTCATCGGTGTCACAAATGGACGGTGAAGTGACAGCTCCCCTGGTGGCCAGGATACCCTCATCAAAGGCTGGAATGTTAAGTAGGCTCTGTGTTTCTGTCTATATATGTTGTGTGTCTATGACATTGAATGTTTGCCATGTATATGTACATATGTAATCCGCCCTGAGTCCCCTGCGGGGTGAGAAGGGTGAAATATAAATACTGTAAATAAATAAATAAATAAGATATATCTTCCTTCCTGGCCAAAAAAAAGAAAAGAAAAAAAAAGATGGATTTCGCTTATATGATGCAATTCTCAATTTGAAGGCATTCTGTTTGGGAGTGATTCCAGACATAATAATAAAGTTGATAGTCTGTGGGAGTGTGTCACCAAGCAGGTAATGTAGGCCTACTGAGCCTACCTCCTTCACACCCAAGTTAAGGGCCTTATAACTTAACTAGCACAGGGCCTCATTTGTCCTAAATCCAGCACTGATTAAAGTACAACTTTCTGTACAACCTCAGCTTGACAGTTTTGCAAAGCAAGAAACACAGTGATGTTTCTGCGAAGAATGCTTGCAGAGATGTATATCTTGCCAGCACTGCAGCAAGATCTTGGTCACTACAGTTTATTTAGAGCATCATGAAAGATATTCAGTTTATTATTTTACTTTTATTTCCAGGGATAAGGAGGTGCTTGTGGCATTTTCTGCTAATTGTGTAGGTTTTGTAGCTGTGATAGGGGCAGAGCCTTGCTTTTCTAGTGGGCTCAGGCAAAAGCAGCTTCTTCTAGCTTGCATGTTCATCCTCATTGAAAACTTTTGCCATCTTTACCACACATTTTCATAAATTTTACATTGCATTTCCCATCCCAAACATTTAGAAATGCCTCGTCGGTTTAGAAATGTGTCATCTTTCCTTACGTGAATCCCTTCAGCTGTGCTGGATGTCAACCCCCACCATCCATAGAAAGCACACAGAACAACACATCCAGAATGGTGGAGGTTGGATTACTCAACAGCAGTGGCTACCATGAAAACCAGATTCTGTAGTGGGATGATTCCATATACATTTCTTTAAGTAATTTCTGATTTATGGCAACTCTAAGGCAAACTTATCATGGGAGGTTGTTGTTTTTTTTTTTTTTCAAAATGGCAAGGATCCAATTCTTAACCCTGTTAACAGTTCCTCCCATCTTGGTTTCTCACCTGCTTTCTCTCTTCACACTGAATTGGCAAGTATAGACTCTTCTAATAAATTTCACCACCCACTGGATCAACCCAACATCTCATAAGGAATTGCAAAGCTAGTAGTGAAATACATAGTAGTATTTGCTCTTGCACCCATTTATGGTCC